CCACTAGGCTTGAGCTCTGCTGGAGCTGCCTGTAGGGATGGAAGTGCCCTATTCCAAAGAGATTTGTGGTAAACCCCCATAGCTGCTAGATAGTTTGAAGCACGGAGGGTGAAAGAGGCTAGTGAGTACATTCTCCAGCCAATTATGTCCAGCTTCCTGCCCTCATTATTGGGGGTTACGTTGGACCGACCTCGAGATCTTGATTGAGTAGCATCTATGATAACTGAGTTGGGCAGTGGATACTTAGACAAAAATTCTGTGTCAGTACCATGTGTCGTGTAAAGGTTCTCCACTCTTCTAGACATTTGAGGTACTGAAGAGGGCTTGTTCCATGATTGTTTGACCAGTTTCAATAAAGATGGAATAAACCCGTGGTGCTTGGTCCTCGTCAATGTCCTGATAAAATTTGTTGGACTCTGATTGGGCGGGTTGTTGGACATTGAGGTCCAAAGCCTTTACGATGCGCTGTACCTTTTAGGAGTATGAAACAAAGTCCTCGGCAGGACAGGGAGAATTGGCATATGTGACATCCAAGTCTGGAGTAGCGAGATTAGGTGGAGACTCAAACAGAGATGAAGAGTCTGAAGACTCAGAGTCAGATGATTGTGAGGATGAAGAATCAGACGTATCTGGAGCGTACTCAACTCGGCGACGTTTGGGCAGCTTTCCGGTATGCTTTTGCGGTACAGGTAGAGAAGTGCTGTCTGATGTTTTCTTACGACATTTTGTGGTATGACCCGTATCAGGCGATGGGCCCGTATAAATTGTTGTGGCCTGTACCAAAGCAGCTCGGAGGATGGGATGGAGCTGTGGCAGTTCAGTCTCTAGATGAGGTAGAGGCTGGAGCGGCTCGGTCCTGGGATGGATCCGGTACCACGTTCTTGGATGTCTTCTGCTTCTTTGGTACCAGTTGAGATGACTTCACCATAGTATGTCGTTTACGTTGCCTGGTATGTAGTGTCTGTATTGGGGCAGGAAGGCTGTTGGTATCGGACAGTTCCTCAGAGTGATCCGACTGGTACCGAGGATGAAGCAGAAGAATTGGACGGGTACCGATACGCATACTGCATGCAAGAGTTAAAATACTGTTCCATCCCAAGTTGCCAGTGCTGAAGATAATGATGGAACAGTATAGCTGGTGGCTCAAAGAACATCGGAGGCTCAAAGAGGGTGACGTGCTTGGGCCGATGTTTGTAAGTCCTTGAGCCCTTCGATACCCTCAGTCTTGACTGATACGGAGGCTGGTAAGGGGCAGTATCGTATCAGACAGTATGGTCGGTGTGATGAAGTTTGGCCTTTTTCTTCTTCTTAACTGCTGGATCGGTAACAACCATCAATCCGGATTCACACACCGACAGAGAGCCAGCCAAAGATTTGGGGCTCAAGCAGGCCGAGTATTGCAAGGCAGTCACCTCAGCCGAGGTGTCTGCCAAGGATGGAGATCCAATTTATAGAGGCGAAGATGGTTGCTCCGAAGGCGACAGAATGGAGTCTTCATCGGTATTGATCTCGATGGTAGGGTTAGTCTATACCGATGGGGGCCGTACCAAAGTTTGCATTTCTACTGCCAGTTTCTTGGATTTCTTAGGTTTGGTAGATTTTGGTAATGATTTAGATGACGGGGTGGAATGTGCCATGGAAACAGAAAACTTAGACTTAGGCAGTTTGCTCTTCTTCTTTGGAGATTTCAACAGTGAGTCTGTAGTTGAAGAAGCAGGTAATGGAGGAGCTTGGGAGCCCTCCATTTTGGCTGGTGCTGAAAAAGCAGGTAATGGAGGAACTTGGGAGCTCTCCATTTTGCCTGGTGGTTTAAGTGATTGTTCCCACAAAATGATCTAAGCCGTTGCTGCCGAAGCTTAATAGCTTGCTTGGTAAAATTCTTACAGTAGGGGCAGCCAGAAGGTTGATGGGATTCTCCAAGGCAAAATAAACAGGAATTGTGTCAGTCGGAGACAGGCAGCTTGTTTGTGCAAGAAATGCACTTTTTGAAGGGGCCCTTTGGGGCCATAAAAGGCAGGAAGGGGAAACATGAATGAGGGGGGGGGCTAATAACTAACGATTGACTTTTTAAAATGATAATCAACAAGGGGATAGGATGAAAAAGGTACGAATGATTTAACGATAACAATCTTCTTTTTCTCTCATTGGAATGAACCAAATCTTCCAACCAAAGCTCTAGAGGTGAGACCACAGCAGCAGAAGAAAAGGAACTAAGGTAATCGCTAGGACGGGTGGACCAAATGGGTGGCGGAGGCGGTCCTGGCGAAGTTTTTCAGCTCTAGCATATTCCGAGACCTCTACGCAGGCACAGACTTAACCCATTAGTGTGCATTCACAGAGACCACGAAGAAGAACAGGTGTTGGTAAGTTTGACAGTGACTCCCTGGAAACCTCAGAAGGGGGATCCTGCTCCTGCTCAGAAACAGTTGACATACAAGAACATCTAGAAATCGAGAGAGATGGAGAAGGAGAACGGTAACAAGCCCAAGACATATGTGCTGAGTGGAAACTTGCGGTGTTGAGGTCAAAGTATGGTGAGCTGAGCAGGACTTATGAGAGGTAGAGCCCGGCTGCAATGCCGAGGCTGTCAGTGCTGAGATGTGCATAGGCGCTTCAACGGAACTGGTTCTCGAAGGGCATCAGACTGAGGCAAGTTGTGTTTAAAAGCATGCTTCCTCGGTATTGGTGGTACAGGGTCGAACTGGTAGTACTGTCGATGCCGACGCCGAGGAGGCAGCGGTGAGGGTGACTGAGAAGAGTCAGGAGAGGCGTAAGCATAGTGAACATGTTTGGCCACCCATATTAATCCTCGATGTAATGAGATTCAAGTTCATCCAAGCGATATCAACGCTGATCGGTATGGTGATCCAGCTCCGCATAGATCGGTTCGTCATATTCCGACACCGAATGGCATTGGAATGGATGAGGGACAAGAATAACTTCTCTATACTTTGCATATTGATGAGCTGGAGAGATGTGGCAACGTTTTGCCAATTGCTTTCATGGAGGAGACTGAGGAGACGATGCTTCCAAGTTGGATAGCTGGATTACCGTTGCCCGCCTGATCGAGATGGGGCTAGAATGGGCCGAGGCCGGGCTGGAGATGATGTCAGCCTCAAAATGGCCATGAGATTGGTACATGCTCGGAATCGACAACAAGGTTGAGCCTATGGAGGCGGTCCTGACTCTCCAGCTTCCAAAAGGGAATCTAGATCCGGGATGTCCCTTGACAACTCCTCCAAGATCGGGGGTGGGAGGGAAATGTGAACAGCTGGAGATTCACGGGGTTGAATAGACTTAGACACCCATTTAGTCTTCTTTTGTTTACCTCCATCCTTCCTCTTCTTAGGAGAGTGATACCTGGCAGAAAGTGAAGGCGATTTCAACACCGAGGTCAATGTTGATACCGAAGACGTCTTAGGTCTGGATGCCTTAGAGGAAGTCTTCAGAGAAGGAGTAGTCGGGGCCGACTGAACAAAGGGCTCAGATCACGATACAGAAGCAACAGTAGCTTCTATTGCCAGGCTGGCTGTGGGACTAGAGGGTCTCAGGGATTTTTCCTGAGATCCTCTAGCTTAGGTCTTACCTAACGGCTTAGATCTTACCTAACGGATTTAGGTAAGACCTAAGCCGTTGCAGCCGAAGCTTGAGAGCCAGTTTAGTTAATTTCTTACACTCCGTACAGGGGTAGGTTTAATGTCTCTCTCCTAGACAGAACAAACAGCGATCATGGCCATCGGCGAAGGGTATCTTATTGGCACAGGATGCACACCTCTTGAATGGGCCCGAAGAGGCCATTAAAAAGGCAGGAAATTGGGGGAAAGAGAACTAAAATAATGAGATGTGCATAGGCACTTTGACAGAACTGGTTCTCGAAGGGCATCAGATTGAGGCAAGTTGTGTTTAGAAGCATGCTTCCTCGGTATTGGTGGTACCGGGTCAAACTGGTAGTACTGTCGATGCCGACACTGAGGAGGTAGCGGTGAGGGTGACTGAGAAGAGTCAGGAGAGGCATAAGCATAGTGAACATGTTTAGGACACCCATATTAAACCTCGATGTAATGAGGTTCAAGTTCATCCAAGCTATATCGACGCTGATCTGTATGGTGATCCAACTCCGCATAGATCAGTTCATCATATTCCAACACCGAATGGCATCGGAATGGATGAGAGACAAGAATCACTTCTCTATACTTTGCATATTGATGAGCTGGAGAGATGTGGCGACGTTTTGCCGATCGCTTTAATGGAGGAGACTGAGGAGATGATGCCTCCAAGTTGGATAGCTGGATTACGATCGAGATGGGGCTAGAATGGGCTGAGGCCGGGATGGAGATGATGTCAGCCTCAGAATGGCCATGAGATTGGTACATGCTCAAGCTTGTGGAGGCGGTCCTGACTCTCCAGCTTCTGAAAGAGAATCTAGGTCTGGGATGTCCCTTGACAACTCCTCCAAGATCCGGAGTGGGAGGGAAATGTGAACAGCTGGAGATTCACGGGGTTGAATAGACTTAGACACCCGTTTAGTCTTCTTTTGTTTACCTCCATCCTTCCTCTTCTTAGGAGAGTGATACCTGGCAGAGACTGAAGGCAATTTTGACACTGAGGTCAATGTCGATACCGAAGACGTCTTAGGTCTGGATGCCTTAGAGGAAGTCTTCAGAGAAGGAGTAGTCGGGGCCGACTGAACAAAGGGCTCAGATCACGATACAGAAGCAACAGTAGCTTCTATTGCCAGGCTGGCTGTGGGACTAGAGGGTCTCAGGGATTTTTCCTGAGATCCTCTAGCTTAGGTCTTACTTAACAGATTTAGGTAAGACCTAAGTCATTGCAGCCGAAGCTTGAGAGCCAGTTTAGTTAATTTCTTACACTCCGTACAGGGGTAGGTTTAATGTCTCTCTCCTAGACAGAACAAACAGCGATCATGGCCATCGGTGAATGGTATCTTATTGGCACAGGATCCACACCTCTTGAATGGACCCGAAGAGGCCATTAAAAAGGATAAGAAATTGGGGGGGAAAGAACTAAAATAACTCACAGGGAAACGTCTGATATCCAAAGCTGTAAACGTTAAACAGTCCAAAGATCATATACCATAAGATTAATAATGAAGTCCATGATCCAAAATTGTAAAACATGAAACAGTCCGTGATCAAAAAACTGAATAATCAGAATAGGAATTGCTCTGATAGTCGCTAAGGAGTCCGAAATCGCTATGCGAGGCACCACTGTAATCAGAATAGGAATTGCTCTAATAGTCGCTAAGGAGTCCAAAGTCAGTGGTGGCTAAAAGGAATTGAGGTATTATGGAGCATGCGTGCCACAAGGGAACGTCCTACTAATCACATGTTTTTAAGCTCTAGAATATTCCGAGGAGTCCTGCGCAGGCGCAGTCTAACCCATTTGTGTGCATTCACAGAGGCCACAAAGAAGAAGTGGTACCTTTGAGTAAAAGTTACCATATCCTCTTTGGATTTGTTATACTGATGAACAGAGAGCTGAGGTGAGTACAGTGCACATTCTGGAATCTAGGAAAGTTTATTTAATTAGGTTTAAGGAAATATTTGGTGAAATCCTATGGTCAAAAGTAGTCAAAAAGAATGGAGTTCACAACAGATAGGTGTTTCTTGGAGATGAGATACTGAAAGCACGATAAAAACAATTCTTATGAAAAGGAAAAGTGGGGGCCATTTAAAGAAATTATGTTTTCTGCATACAAAGCTTTCATATGGGAGGAGATTTAAAAGGGCAATGTTGTCTCTGTCTTCAAAAATGGAAGTGGATCCAGGCAACTACTTTTCAGCTTGACATCAATAGCATAAAAGTTCTAGAACAGATAATTAAAGAGGGGTTCTGTCTACCCCCAATTATTCTTCCATTTCATGGGCTATGGCAGGAGTTCCAACCAGGTCCAGGCATAGATGTATTTTTTATGGATGCCCACCTGGAGACTAAGAAGAAGATGACCTCTCATTTAGACTAACCCTGCCTTGCAAGAAGACTCTGCTCAATTTTCAGGCAGCTAGCTTTAGAAAGGCAGGGTTCTGGTAGCAGATTAAGCCTGGTTGAAGCAAATCTCTTCTGTTCAGTAGTGGGAGAGGCTCTTGCGTCAACAGCCTCATTAAATCTCTTGCTTATTTGAGGGTGATCAGCAGGACCTGGGCCATCTCATCTATTATTTTTCTGATGACCTTTCTGATCAGAAGGAAGGACTACAGAAGATCTCTCAGTCAGCAGGTTGCAAATGCTGCTGTTATATGGCAGTTCAGAGAAAGATGACGCAGTAAACATTCAAGAGTTGGTCCTGGATGAATACACTACCTTACAGAGATGTATCTGGATGAAATGTGGGGGTAGTCTCTCGCAGCAGCACAAGAATCCTGGAAGGGTGAGGAGGCAGAGTTCCAGTTGCAGTGACCTTTTGGGATTCCATTACCTTCACTAGGAGCCCTGTTCTACAGTCTACAAGATCAGGGATTCTATTTATGTACCACCCGCTCTGCTGAGTGACACTCTTCCTGTTCTAGCTGTGTTGGTTTTGGAGTTGGCCATGTAGAGCTCAGTCTTTCCAAACGAAGGCAGGAAGTAAAACAGGTAAAAAATTCTCCTAGAAAGAAGCTTAGAGTCTGCTTTCAACTCCAGAAGAGGCTGGACTAACCCAAACTAGCTGACTTCCTTTCTCCCCTCAACCAGAGCAAAGTCAGATGTCCAAATATAGGAAGGATGGCCCTTGGCTTGGCATTACTACATGGGGAAAGGACCTACATATCTTGGTACACTGTGAACAACAGAACAAAACAAAACAAAACAAACACCTAGTGCAGTTTGAAGCTACATCAAAAGAATCACAGTGTTCAGATCAAGGGAAGTAATAGTACAACCTTATTCTGCTTTGGTAAGACCTCACCTGGAATACTGTGGCCAGTTCTGGTTATCACAGTTTAAGAAAGGTATTGACAAGTTGGAATGTGTGCCGATGAAGGTGGGCAAGATGGTAAGTAGTCTGGAAGCCAAACCCTATGAGGAATAGGTTAGGGGGTTGCAATATTTGGAGGGCTGTCATATGAAGGATTGGTCAGGCTTGTGTCTTCTTCAACTCCAGAGGGTAAGAATCAAAATAATGAATTCAAATTACATGAAACGAGTTTCTAAACAGAGATCAGAAAGATAGTAAGACCAGTTTAACAATGGAATGGACTACCTCAGGAGGAGGTAGACCTTTCTCCATAGAAGATTTCTAAACAAAGATTGGATGGCCATCTGTCAGAAATGCTGTTGCTCAGACATGGATTTTGTACTATGCCAGGAGTTGGATTTGATGACTCTTGTTGTTCCTTCCAGATCTGCAATTCTACCATTCTAGGCTGAAGGAGTAAAAGGGTCCATTTACTTTTGTCCAGCTAGTTTCCAACTCTGACAGCTGAGAGCAAGTGTCATGTACATTCTACCGCACCATAAGACCAGTATATAAGCATAATCTTAAGGCCTGTTCTTTCTCTTAAGAGGAAAAGTAGTTTATTTAAAAACTATGTTTCTGCCGCATATCTCCAGAATTTCTATACTATTCAGGAACTCCCTTCTATGTTTTTGTCCTTTTTGCAACCAAGTTGTCCAAACATAGGAAGCCTCCCCAAATAAAATCTGAACAGTATTATAATATAGTACCTGCTTTCTCAACTGTTCAGCCATTTTCTTCTTTTCCTGAATAAGATTCTGTTGCGCTAGAATAGCCTCCTTGTAGCTTAGTTTTCCTTGCAACCGTCTGCACACCTCTGCTGTTAACTGTTGGTCCAAATCTTTCTTTTGCATTTGCTTTTGCCATTCCAGAAATTCAGATGGATCCTGAGCTCCTCGCAGAAGACGTTCAGTTCTATAAAGAAAGAAAAAACAGGATACTTTGTACAATACAGAACTGTGCCACTGGTATGGTGTCAGAGCCAAATTACACATAATCTTAAATGTCTGATTAGCACTTCACCTGGGTCTTAAACAAAACTTAATGTAAGAGGGGAGGGGAAACCTTTAATGGGAGTGCAGTAGGTGGGTAGGTCCGGCTTTACTCTTCCCTCTCCATGTGTAAACGTGACAGACATTCCTCTCCAGAAACTGTCACACTTGCTGAGGACAGAAGAATGAATCCTCCTCACCCCAAATGATCAGTTCTAACTTACAGCTCTCTCTCCCCAGACACACTTGAATATCTAATTCAAGCAATAAATCATCATCATCATCATCATCATCATCATCATCATCATGTGCCTTCAAATCAATTCTGATAGTGGCCCATTTCAAGGTTTCCCAGGCAGAGATGAAAATAAGAAGACTAAACAACCAAAATGTATACAATCTGAAGAGAAACCAGAGTATACACAATTTATTTTAGAGAAATAATGCATAGCAAAGGGTATAAAGATCAATGATAGCAAAAATTAGAGAATGGTCTCAATGCTGTTCTGAAGAACAAAAAATTGAAATAAGATCAGAAGAGGGCCCTGACTTAGCAGCAAGGAAGCAGGTGCAGAGATCATGTGAATGACCAACATGCAAAACAGTTACATCATGAATCAAAATTATAGTTTATTTCTAAGCAATCAGACAAGTACCTATTGAGCTCTTCTTCCACTTTTCTTTGGTAAAGGACACCTTCTCTGAGGATCGCTGCTGCATTTAATTTAACGGGTGCGTTATTGGTCTGTCAAGAAATTGCATAAGCATTTACAGAAAAATGATTTTAAAGCAAATTAAAAAATATTTAAAACAAGTTAAATATAAAAAGCCATGTTACAAAATTGTAGAGGTATTTTTTTTTAAATCCTCAACTGATCTTTATTATATCATACTGCTTGCTCATCAACTGCTATATTTTAAAATCAGGCATCTTTAATTTTTTTCAATACTTTGTAGAGAGATTAAAACTTCTAAAAACCTTCAGACTTTTCTCTAGAAAGTTTTCACAGAAAACGTTCACTCTAAAACCACGCAAGTGTAAAATATTTGTTAAGGTAAAATATTTAATATGAGCTTCTTTAAACATTATTATCTACAGAAACATCTGTTTTGAAATTACACTAAAATTATACCAAGGTAGAAATGTCAATTCAAGTAATCTCTGAACAGTAACATATGACATAGCATTTTTGTTCTTATTTTAAAGGCACACAAAAAAACATAGAAAAATAAATCTCAGTTAATGTCCTATCCAAAATACTAAATGAAGCCACATTATGAAACACATAGTTTTGGAAACAGAAAAAAAATCAATCAATAAAAGTTAGAACATAAATATTGTTTTTTAAATAAAGTTTTAAGTAGACAAAAGTCTTTGTCTTTTGTCTTTTAAGTAGAAAACTGTCACTTCTCCCATTTCCCCTTTTTGTTTTGCAACTTTTAAAGTTTCTGATCAACTGTTTCTCCTTCAGCTTTGGCTTCTTCTCTCATTATTTCTTTTTCTTAAACATTTTCAAGGTGTTTACTGTCTCCTTTAAATTCCTTATTTCTTCCTGAGTTTCTTCTTGTTGCATGAACATTCCTGACTGACTGCAAAAGGCTCCTATCAATTACAAAAGATTCAAATTTCCCAGAATCCAGGACAGCATCATGAACTTGACATTGGCAGATAATAGTTTCCTTGTGCAAGTTCCCTGTTAATACTGACTTTCTAATGGAAAATCCACTTTCAACGTAAGTTTTACCAGGAGACAGGGTAAGACACACTTTGACACTTTCCACACATCTAAGAGACTCTTGTTGGCCACAAAAAATACTTCTGTAAAGTTTACCCAGTCCAACTTCATCATCTTGTTCTGCCACAGAAGTTTGAAAGTTAGCCTTAAACTCATTGTGAGCTGCTTAGGTAAAGCAGTGTATTGCTGCTGTGATTTTTCTACTATTGTGCTTTTGATTACATTATTTCTTTTTCTTAAACATTTTCAAGGTGTTTACTGTCTCCTTTAAATTCCTTATTTCTTCCTGAGTTTCTTCTTGTTGCATGAACATTCCTGACTGACTGCAAAAGGCTCCTATCAATTACAACAGATTCAAGTTTCCCAAAATCCAGGACAGCATCATGAACCTGACATTGGCAGATAATAGTTTCCTCATGCAAGTTCTCTGTTAACACTGACTTTCTAATGGAAAATCCACTTTCAACGTAAGTTTTACCAGGAGACAGGGTAAGACACACTTTGACACTTTCCACACATCTAAGAGACTCTTGTTGGCCACAAAAAATACTTCTGTAAAGTTTACCCAGTCCAACTTCATCATCTTGTTCTGCCACAGAAGTTTGAAAGTTAGCCTTAAACTCACTGTGAGCTGCTTAGGTAAAGCAGTGTATTTTGATTTTTCTACTATTGTGCTTTTGATTAAATTTGCTGCATTTAGAGCTACAAATACAGTGGTGCCTCGCTTAGCGATGTTAATTCGTTCCAAAAAAATCGCTGCTAAGTCATAACACCGCTAAGCGAAAATTAAAAGCCCATAGAAATGCATTAAAACGTGATTAATGTGTTCCTATGGGCTTAAAACTCACCTTTAAGTGAAGATCCTCCATAGCGCCGCCATTTTCGGTGCCTCTAAAGCAAGGAATCCGTGCCTGAAAACAGCGGGTGGCCATTTTGTTTACCCAGTGGCCATTTGAAACCGCCAATCAGCTGGCCAAAAATGGGGGCTTTGCGATGATCGCTTCCCTGCAATCATCACAAAGCGAAATTCACCCATAGGGACCATCGCAAAGTGATCGCTTTTGTGATCGCAAAAACAGTGCCGCTAAGCGATTTCGCTGTAAAACGGAGCGATCGCTATGCGAGGCACCACTGTACAGATTTTTGGAGACTCCAAGATTTGGCTTATATATAGCAATAGCAGGATCTAATGCCAACAGACCATAAAACAGGCTGAACTTCAAAGGACCTCTGCCAACCAACTTTTCAATAACAGCTACTACCATGTTTCCACATCCTAAGTTAAACTTAGCTTCTTTGTTACAAAACCAATGTCACCAATCTTGCTTCTGTCAATCAAGTTGTCAGACAATTTTGTGCCCATGATTAACAACTGGGAACCATAAGATACTTTTTTGTATATTTTCTGATTTGATATAATGACTCAGTTTCCTGTTTAGCTCATTAAGCTTTTTGTACAGAAGATATGTCAAAGGTTTCTGTTTTGAAACCTTTGTAGAAACGAAAAGATCATTAAGTTGTGCTTGTATTCTGCTATTTCTGTATACTAACTTCCGCAAGAAAACTTCATTCTCTAGCAGCAGCATGTAATAAAATTCACTATGCGAGTATATCTTAAACACAATTTCTCTGACTTTTCCTGACTTCTGATCAATTTCTCTGACTTTGCCTGACTAACTTCCATTTACCTGAGTTTCCTGGACTTCCTGGAGACAGTGGCAAACCTTCCCTTGCTCCTTGCATTTTTGAGTGGGTCAGTGAGTCTACATTCGATTCACTGAATCTACTCTTAATGGGATTAATAATGGGATTTAGCCTGTTATGTCACAGTTATAGAGTACAAGCAAACGAGGTGCCTTATTGCCACAAGTGTCTGCAAAGTATCTCAGAAATGCTTGTAAAGTGTTCCATATTCATTTAAAAAGCTGCCTCCCTTTCAAATGCAGTATCATTTGCTTTGTTATATTTATACCAAATCTAAATCTGCAACTCTTACATTTGATAATCTCTAGTATCTCACCTTTACTTTGATCCTCTGTGCCCGAAATCTCTTCACACGATCTGGAATCTCCTCTGCAATCTAAATCATACAAGAAACATAGTTTTTATAAAAGATAACTATGAATCCTATATAATTATGTAGGTTAGGCAATCACATAATTACAGGATTTGATTGTATGAAGCGACTACAGCTCCTCAAAGTTAAGATGATGCATAAAGTTAAAAGTTGAACTGAAGAAATAATACAGTGGACCCTTGACTTACGAAGGTTCCTACTTATGGAATTTTTGAGGTATGAAAAGCTCCAGCCGCAAAATTTTAGTTCGACTTGCAGCCGGAGCTTTGACCTACGAAAGGCGGGGGAAAGGGCGGGAAATGCAAAGCAGCCCCCGCTACCCTCTTGTCTCCTGTCCCCGGTGTCCTCTGCAGCCACAGTTCCAATACAAATTAATTCCGTAAATCGATAGTCCACTGTAGATGCTTGTTTGATTTTTTAAAAGCAAGTACATAATAAGATCAACCAAAATGAATGCAGTGAAGGAATGATAGAATACAGTGATAATGCATTTAATTTCACACAACAGCATACCATTTTCTCATAGAGCAATCAAGTCAGTTTACATATTAATTAAAAAGCTGAAATCCCATTTCATATTTATACTGCTGTAAGTCCACCAGCATAACGTTCAACAGCAAATTGCCACAACTTAAGTCAATGCAGACATTTCCTATCACACAACTGCTGCAAATTAAAAAGTCACAGTTGGCATTTCCTGTCACACAGTGAGCCATGCAGGGTAGGTTACACTGGCAAAGCATTATGCTCTGCAGTCTTTTAATGCATTTTAATAATGTAAGTTGCCTCTTTATACTCATTGTTCTTAGCTTTAAATATTATCTTTAAATGATGTAAGCCACTTTTGTGTACTCTTTTTTCAGCTTTAAATACTGTGGTAGGTTACTCTGGCAAAGCATTATGCTCTGCAGTCTTTTAATGTGTTTTAATAATGTAAGTTGCCTCTTTATACTCATTGTTCTTAGCTTTAAATATTATCTTTAAATGATGTAAGCCACTTTTGTGTACTCTGTTTTCAGCTTTAAATACTGTCTTTCAATGATGAGCCCTTTTTAAGGAGAAAGGTGGGGCAAAAAAAATTCTAAATAAATAAATAAATAAATAAATAAATAAATAAATAAATAAATCACTCACTCACTCACTCACTCACTCACTCACTCACTCTAAGCAAGATACTGGCCTTGGTTGCCAGTAGCTGTTGCTATGCAAAATGTTTTTTTACTGTTTCAACTGTGTGAAGACAGTGTCAGTGAAGTTTCTGTTGGCCCCAGAGTGCAATGAGAGATGGTCACTCACTTCATGTATTTAAGAAATTTATCCAGTTGCCTGTCCTTGTATGTTTCTTGGGCTAAAGAATTGGGATTACTGAAAGAGAGGATACGACTAGTGTGGCAGTCTTATGGGGTATGGCGAGCCATGATTATCTCAGCAGCTCCTCTTCATTGTCCTCTTCATTATTGCCCTTTGGTGTTGCTACAGTGCTGTTCCTGTAAGACTTCCTGTCAATGCTGGTTTCCTGTGAGTCTTTGAGCAGCATGTTTCCCAGTGCTAATATCAAGAGTGTTTGCTTGGGCAGCGATAGCAGCCAGCAGTTCAACCCAATGGCTGCTGCCACCAGTTTGTTTCCTTAGAGTACTAAATACTAGAGGTGAGAAGTTATACAGGGGCAACATCTGTAGAATGGGAGCTTAAATACCTTAGCTCCACCCTCTTATGTCCCACCTCCCATCACGCTATTGGCAGATGACACGCAGCCACAGCAATGACGGGCAGATGATGTCACCGCTACTGTAACAGGCAGCAATAGCAGCGAGCAGTTCAACCCAATGGCTCCTGCCACCAGTTTGTTTCCTTAGAGTACTAAATACTAGAGGTGAGCAGTTATACAGGGGCAACATCTGTAAAATGGGAGGGGAAAGACTTTAATTACTGACAACCACTGCCACTAGTAAAGTGATGATGGCGATGGCAATTTTCAGTAATTAATTCATTCTCCCATTCCACAGCCCTCAGCGGCTTCCTGATGGTGAAAGAGATTCCACAGATGCCCCAAGACCTTAGGGAGGAAATTAGAAATATTTTTACTGTATTCCCAACAGCTGATGATGTCATCTGCCTTACCTGACATAACTTACACAAGAGAATTTCAGGCATTATTGCAGAAAGTAGGACTCTGGTTGAGAAACTGTGGGTTATGCCAGCCCGGCAAAATCCCCTAGTACTTTTACACCAATTTTGTTATAGGAAATTATGAGCAGCAAACGCCTTACTATTACTATTAAGAATGCCCTTCAGTGTGTTATAATATTGTGACATCAACTGTAGCATATAGCATTAGAAGAGTTTTACTGTGCAGGAAATTCCTTTCTCTTAAGTGCAAGGTTTGGAGCTGAGGCAGTGTGCCCAGTTGCTCTTCAGATGTTAGAATGTACTTGTGTACCATAGTAATGAATAATTATGCTGTGGAAATGCCTAAGCCTCTTATGCATTACGTAGACCTCCAAACCTAGGGGTAAAATGCAAGCTGTGCATTCATAGGTAAACTCAGTCTTCTGTACTAGTTACATTCAACTTGCTTCCAAATTTATAAAGCCAGAGAAAGTGAAAAGTTTTGTTTGGCAGTTAGGTTTATCACTGGGAAACACGAATGCATACAAGAAAAAAAAAACTGTTTTGAAGAAGATGCACGTGTGGAGGTTGTGTTGGAACACCGCCCCCGCCCCCCCAATATGTGATAAAGGTGTGGTTTTGAAGCATGGACATACCTCATATTTTGCTGAGGAGCACAGGAAGCAACCTAGAGTGAGACCCAAATCCACACCATGTCCTTAAATTACAAATATTATGATGGCATGCTTGCTAGCCACCTGTTGTGAGCTAAAATATAGTAAGTGGAAATTCCAAACGCAGCTCACCGTGCAATACGCAAACAACAGACCTTCATGTACTTTATCTCAGTAATCCTTACAACAATCCTATGTCATAGGTTGGTATTACAGATTAAGAATGAGAGAAGAATGGCCACCTAATGAGTTTGTCATAGTAAACTATATTAGAACCTTCTCATCACAGCTCAGACCATAAACTGCAGTCTCATGCACACACTTCTCTACAAATAAAAGCCCATAAATACAACGAGGTTTACTTTTGAGTTTAGTGGGTAGCATTGTGTTGTGCATGACATTATACCAGTTACGCAGTTTAGAAACCAGTAAAAAAATTACTTTTTTGGTATTATAACAACAATACAATGACTTTTCAAATCCAAGAACTAGATACAATCTGGTTCTTAAAAATAAACAATACTGTATTTGGCTGTTGTGAGTTTTTCGGGTTCTCTGGCCGTGTTCTGAAGGTTGTTCTTCCTAACATTTCACCAGTTTCTGTGGCCAGCATCTTCAGAGGACAGCACTCTGTGCATCTGTGCTGTCCTTTGTGCTGTCCTCTGAAGATGCCGGCCATGGAGACTGGCGAAACGTTAGGAAGAACAACCTTCAGAACATGGCCAGAGAGCCCGAAAAACCCACAACAACCAGTAGATCCCGGTCGTGAAAGCCTTCGCAAATACTGTATTTGTTTATTTACACTTGTTTTACTTACATGGCCTTCACAATCAATCTTTGGGGCTGCACATCTGAACTGGCTAGTATTTGCTTCCAGCAGCAGCTTCTAAAGTTAGCACATAAATATTAATTATCATACTATAACACAATAATTAAAAATGTTAAGAAATGTACATTTCCAGATATTTATGCTTTTTTCCTTCCTTTCTGAAAAGACTATGTTAATGTGCTCTGAACAGAGGTCTTAGGACAGCATCTAGTGTGGCTGAGAAGGCCAATTCAAGAGTGACAATCCCTTCCACACTGGAGACAAATCTGTCCCCTGTCCAGCTCCCTGATTTTGCTGGTTTCGGGACTGCCTTTTTGCCTCAGCCTGCTGGACAAATGTCTCCTCAAGATGGGAGAGCCCATGATGCACCGCCTGCCACCAGGCTGAATGCTCAGATGTCAAGGTTTCCCCTCTGTCGAGGACCATTCCTAAGGCCTTCAGATCCCACTTGCAGATGTCCTTGTATCGCAGCTGTGGTCTCCCTCTGGGGCGATTAAGTGCAGTAGGACAACCATATTGACAGAGCCAGTGTCCAGAGTTATCCAGTCACCACAATTACCATCCAGCCCATAGTGTGCATGCACATACCTCAGCCCACATGTGCATTTACCTCCTCTTCTGGCCCCCACCTCCTGTTACCTGCAGTTGCTATTGCCGCAATCCAGGCTGTAATGTGCGCACACACTGCAATGTGGCACACACTTACCTCCTCCTCCTGCCCGTCCCCCTGCCTCTCATTCTCTTTAAGGGTTTGCTACCATTCATGGGATAGGGGTTTTAGAACCTACCTTAGGAGCACTGTTCAAATCAAGTGCTCCTGTTCAGAATTCCAGCTCCCTAATTTCATTCCAATATGTACCCCTTCACATTTTCCCTTTTTCTACTTGATATACAAAAGTCTATTGCTTGTGAACTTGATAGTAATATACTCTCTGTGTGTGTACTGCATTTCCAAGTCAGAAACCAACTTATAGCAACCCCAACAGGGCTTTCAAGGTAAGTGAGGTATTTAAGGAGTGGTTTTACCAATTCCAGTCCCCAGAGAGTTTCCATGGCCAAGTGGGGATTCGAATCCTCTATTTATTTTATTTTATTTTCCTTAATTTATAGGCTGCCTTTCGGCTGATAAGGAAACCCCAGGCAACTCACAACATTAAAAATAACAGCATTAAAAACATAATAATTTAAAACAAATAATAATTTAAAACATAATAATTTAAAACAGATAAATTGTATGCTAATTAAAATAAATAGAATAAAAGCACTACACCACACTGGGAATGTATAGTTATATATTATCATGAACTTGATGGTAATACATAGCTATACATAAACCTATCCTCTATAAATTTGTGTTAATGACTTATAAAAGCTATCTAAGCTAGTGGCCATCAGGACTTATGGAAGTAAACCATAAGTTAACTAGGCTTGCCTTCAGAAGTGATCTAATAATCTACTATTTGTTTTATTAACCTGAAGTTTCCTGTGAACCAAAGATGTCTAGTTACTTGACTACTACCTCCTGGGCTTCCTCTGGTAATGTGGGAAAGTGTTGTAAAAGTGTGATCTGGCATTAGAGACCTGGCAAGTAGTATAAACACCTAGCATATATAAAAAATGATTTTTGACAGGTGCCTCACCCCTTTGAGGGGTCAAAAATCAACCCAGGGCCCTCCCCCAAGGTGGGTGGGGCTTTAGGGTGACATAGGGGGTTGGTGAGGTCACCATGGACCTATAGGAGGGGGTCCTAGACACCGGGTTCCCCCGTGACCAGAGTGCGGCTTCAGGATTGGCTCCTGAAGTGACATGTCACCCCCAGCGGCCCTGTAGGCCAATGGGGAGTGGTTGGAGGGGTTCGGCTAGAAAATGGTTGGATCCTGGGGCTGAAACTCCACAGCGGTTGCTGAAACACCACCCGTCAAAGGGGCAGGGCACCTGTCAAAAGTGATTTGATGGATGCTAGGTACTTATACTGCTCTGACAGACTAAGAAAAAGATCTGAAGAGCTATGCATCAAGTATGGAAGGCATAAGAATCCTCCTCAGCACATTATTTTGGACCAGCAAATAATTCAAACTACTAGTATTAACCCAGGGCCCTCCCCCAAGGTGGGTGGGGCTTTAGGGTGACATAGGGGGTTGGTGAGGTCACCATGGACCTATAGGAGGGGGTCCTAGACACCGGGGTCCCCCGTGACCAGAGTGCAGCGTCAGGATTGGCTCCTGAAGTGACATGTCACCCCCAGCGGCCCTGTAGGCCAATGGGGAGTGGTTGGAGGGGTTCGGCTAGAAAAGGGTTGGATCCTGGGGCTGAAACTCCACAGCGGTTGCTGAAACACCACCCGTCAAAGGGGCAGGGCACCTGTCAAAAGTGATTTGATGTATGCTAAGTACTTACAGTATACTGCTCTGACAGACTAAGAAAAAGATCTGAAGAGCTATGCATCAAGTATGGAAGGCATAAGAATCCTCCTCAGCACATTATTTTGGACCAGCAAATAATTCAAACTACTAGTATTATTATAAGATACTGAACTTGCCTGTGCTTTCTGATGATTCTTCAGCTTCATTTCTTCCAGATGCTGCTTCACTCTAGGAAGTTTATAAGTGTTTGCAGGAACCTAAACGCACGAAGACAATAATTTAAGAGACCTTAGATCAGGCTTGTCCAACCTGCGGCCCAAGGGCCGCACGTGGCCCAGGTCAGCTCGTAATGTGGCCCAGTGCAATTTTTTATTTTTAAAGAAATTCTGAAGTTTCAAGTTACACTGCCGGCGCTTGCGGCCGGAATGTGGCCGGGGCATGTCACAACAGTAGAGGGGGAGAGAGGGAAGGAAGGAAGGAGTGGGAGGGGAGGGAACAAGTGGGCTGCGTGACTGCATTGTGCTGTCCCCGTCAATAGGTGGACCCCCTCCTGGCCCCATAAAGCCGCCGGAGTTGAAGATGGCAGCCTCTGCTGTCTGAAATCGCAGCTGCCGGTAAGTGCGCTTGGAGCGGGGCTGCGGAGGACAGCTAGGGCTGCCCCCCCATGCGGCCCAAACCAAATTTATGTGCGGCCCAAAACAAATTTTCATCTTCTAATGTGGTCCAGGGAAGATGAAAGGTTGGACGCCCCTGCCTTAGATGAAAGAATATTCTGAAAGAAAGGACTTTAAGAAAAGAAAGTTTAACAAAATCATAAGAATAGCCCCACCAAGTCAGCACATGCAACTCTTTATGATTAAGTAAGAGTGGTGTAACCTTTTAGAGGATAGGGACTCCATATTAGTATGGTCAAGATTCCGTGTGAAGTGGTGACTATCTTCAGCTTTCCACAAAAAACATAGGTGGGAAACTACTAACTGTTTTTCAAACCAGCTTATCCTCTCAGGCCCTTTCATTACCTTCTTCCTAACATGCAGGCTGAGAATGGTAACTGAGGGCTTGGCTAGATGGCCAAATTAGATTAGGCTAAAGAAGTTTGCTCAAAGTTGCACAGAGGTACATGATGCAATCCTTGCATCCACATGAAAACTACACAGCACTTGTAGCAACTCTGTTTAGCTTGATCAAGATCTTCTTTCCCTTTATAATAAAAGACTATTCCCATTTAAAGGAAAAGAATTCTCAAGATTGTTAAGTGCTTGGCTGGCTGTCATTTTGGAGAAACCGCTTAACAATCTTGTCTCTTAATGATCTCGAAAGACATAAAATGTCCACTTGGACTCTCCTCTGGAGAGAAAGGGAGACAAAGTTATCCATTTCTTTAATGATTGCTAACTGACAATGCATCAACAAGGCTTTGACAAGGCTTTTAAAAAACGCTTTCAAAGCACTGCTGATACATTTATTGTTGTGCCATCAAATCAGAACCAACTTATAGCAGCGCTAATGGGGCTTTAGCAACCATTAAAAAGAAATGCAAACTTTCCTATCACCAGTCTATCAAAGAAGAGACAAGTTTTCAATTCTGAAGATTGTTAAGAAGCAAGGGATAGACAAAGGGATAAACAGCCACCCACTTTATTTCAGTCCCAGCAACTACACATGCTGGAATCAAATGAGAATGGAGCAATCCTACTCATACCCCAAAAAACAGTAGCTCATGACAGGGAGCCAAAAAGGTACAAGTAGGAACGCTCTGGGGCCAGGCTAGTTCATGCTGCACTTACATTATCTCATCACTGGCAAAAGGAAGTAACCAGCCTATCCCCAGTGGACCAAACACTGGGACATATTGACACTTTTTATGCTCCCAAGCTAAAGATTATCTAGTAGCAAGCTTTGATGTATAATGATTTTTCTTTTACAGAATAGTTTGTATCTTTGTTATAAAAGTTGATCAAGACACCAATAAAGTGTTTGTAAACAAGACTCATCTTCAATATTTAATACAAAAAGCTTGATTCAACAATGGACGTTTCCTGTTGCACATACTTTAAACTATTTTAAATTCTTTCAACAAAGCAGATAAAACAAATTGTAAAACAAAAGAACAACAGATAGCACTCACAGATTTTATTTTCCCTTGCTGTGGAATTACTTCAGGAATCAGTACAGGTCGTGGATCAGGGATTGTCAAGTTAAATTCCTTTGGTTCAGTTGTTTTTAAAGATGTTGTAACAACATTTTTATCTAATTTCTTATCAAGTTGATCAATCAGTTGTTGTACTTTTGGCTGCCATCTTAAAACAAAAAGAATATAAAATATAAATTTTCATTTTTAGTTCCATTCAACACTGCACTGGTGGATTACTGCCTGCGTAATGCAAAAAGATTTGGTGGAAGGCATGGGCAACTTTTCTACCAATGATGATGAACTGACTCTGTTCATGATGCCTTTTCCACTGACCCCACCAAATACCTATTGTATTAGGGATGTAAAATGTTCGAGCTTCCAGACATTGTCAGAACATAATTCTGATAATCCTTCTTAACGGAACATGTTGGCTAGGGCCGATGGGAGTTGTGGTTCAGCAATATCTGGAGGGTCATATATTCAGAGCATATGCTTTGTATGCAAATTCACTTTCAGTTAAATCTTGGCATCTCCCTCTGAAATCACAGGTACGCAACATAGGTGTTCCTGGATATGTCTCTCAACCTGGATGTCCAGGTTTCGGCTATGGCCAGGAGTGCACCTGCTGTGTCCGTTCCCGCAGAGGTCTGATCTGGCCACAATGACACATGCCTTAGTTGGATTATTGTAACACGCTCTACTTGGGGCTGCCTATGGAAAGGATCAGGAAACTTCAGCAGATCTAAAATGTGACATCCACATTGCTGACTAGAGCTGGTTACAGGGATCACATTACTCCCCTGATTTGTTTCCAGGCACAATTCAAAGTGCTGGTTCTAAACTATAAAGTATTAAACAGTTTAGGTCCAAGCTATCTCAAGGAACACGACTCCCATTATAAACCTGCTTAGGTGTGCAGATCATCAGGCACGGCATTTCTCTCAGTCCCACCATTCTCATAGGTATGTTTGGTGGGGACACAGTAGAGGACCTTCTCTGTTGCTGCTCCAAGACTTTGGAACTCCCTCCCACATGAGGCCTTTCCAGACCTCATCTTTGCTGTTCTTCCACAAGCAGGCAAGACCTTTCTCTTCAGGCAAGTGATGGGCTGCCTCAGTGGAGTTTTCAAATGGATGGTTGTGCCTTAGTGATTTCAATATGTTCTTGGTATTGCTGTTGTTTACTATTTTTAGAGTGGTATTTGTTTGATCCATTTTAGTATCTCTATACTTACTATTTTTAGATTAAATTTTAAAGATGTAAGCTGCCTTGGGTTCTTTTTAAGGAGAAAGGTGGGGTAAAAATATTTTAAATAAACAAATAGTAAATAATAAATTCAAGAGAAAGTTAGACAGCCATCTGTCAGATACACTTTGATTTGGACCCTACATTGAGCAGGCAGTTTGACTTGATGGCCCTATAAGCCCCTTCCAACTTTGTTATTCCATGATTCTATGATTCTTTGTAGCAACTGTCCCTTTTGCCCATCTTTGGGAAAAATTTCTTAGTTTACTTTAAAGTGTCTATTACTTAATTATATGGCTTCTCACACTGCATACATTCCCAGAAAGGACACTGAAAGGATCAGAAATAACTTACTTCTAAGTAAATGCATTAGGATCACCATGAACTGGAAAGTCTTAAGACAATGCAAATAGATTTTTGCTTAGAAGTAAACTGCTTATTACCTAACTTTTGAAGATTCTAATATTGTTTTTTCAGATTTAATGACCCCTCAATATGTTGGTCTTATTCTGAAAAGTTATGTTTTCTTTCTTGAATGGTGTGGTACTTGCATCTTCTGTATTTCAATTGTAGAAAACATGGGCTGGAATTCTTTAGTTATGTCTGCCAATATAGCACAAGCAATTTAACTGTCAGCCGTAAGTTAAGTAGCTGGCGTAGGAATTGCCTATCACACACCAATCATGTGATTTGGTATGCACTAAAAAATCTTACTCTGACTTCTTAACCTGTGGTAATGCACCTCTAAAAGTTAAGACAACAAAACTATACAGTAGCTTATTCATTTTTTGTGTCTGGGGGTGGAATATTTTTTAAAATCAAATTACAGTCTTGGCACCTTTCAAAGCCTAACAAGTTTTATCTGGGATAAACTTTCGTTAACTGATCCGATTCCTGCCCTGAATTTTTAACTAATATTCACTATAATTTTGTATGAATCCTTGTATGTACTGTACAGTGGTACCTCACAAAATGATTACTCCACAAAACGACGAATCCACATGACAATGAGGTTTTGCGATCGCCATTGCGCTTTGCAAAACAGTGTTTCCTATTGGCGATTTCCGCTGGACGACGTTTCGGTCCATGCTTTGCAAGACTTTTTTTTTCGGGACCGATGCTTCGTAAGACAACGATTTTTACAGCTGATCAGCAGCTCCACAAAATGGCTTCCCTATGGGCGATCTTCCGCAAAGCAGATGTTTTCGTGACCGATGCTTCGCAAGACAGCGATTTAAACAGCTGATCGGCGCTTCGCAAAATGGCTTCCGTATGGGCAATTTTCACAAAACGACAATTATTTTCCCCATTGGAATGCATTAAACGGATTTCAATGCATTCCAATGGGGAAACGCTTTTCTCAAGACGATGTTTTCGCTAAACAACGATTTCAATGGAACGGATTAACATCGTCTTGCGGGGTACCACTGTATCTTCGCAGACACCCTCAGGACATAATAAATCTGCCGTTACATTACCCATAAAACTCTTAGTGCTATTATTCTTTGGTCCAGCTAATATTCAAAGCAAAGTATTAGCCACCGAACTGAAGTTACAACACTATTCTTAAAATGAAAAGAGAGAGAGAGTGAGAATAAAGAAGCAACAAAAGTGGGTTCATGATATTGCTACATAAAATATGCAACAGTATTAGCAGAATTATGAAATCAGCAAGAGGAGAATTGAATCAAACCCCAACACTCCCATTTGTTACAGTCTTTGTTTCAGACAGATGGTATTGGTTTCTGTTCCAGGGCTGTCATTTCCTTGAGACTGCCATTTCCTTTGCTTTCAAGCAAAGAACATTCTACTGTTACTCCAAGAAGAGGAGAATAATTGAATTGGAAAATACATGCTGAACATGTGATGTGAAGGAACATAGAAGATACTGTATAAATTAAATTGGAGTTATAGAATTTACTGATATTATACAATAATAAGTTTCCATTCCCCAATGGAATTGTAGCTGAAATGTAAAGCTACATAACTACTATTAATAGAACACTTCTAGTATTTGTAGACTATTAAAATAAGTCTGGAATAGATAAACATAGCTACCTACACTGGATTTCATTATGCATCTATTGCAGAACTGACAAGGCAGATGCCATATTGCCAATCTCTGAAATAACTACTTTAAATTAACAATTATGATCTGCATTTTTCAGATACAAGCAACATTAAGAAGAACATTAAGAATACTATTCATAAATAGACACTTGATTTTTGCATACCTTCTTGGGATTAAGATTCACCAGACACACTTGGATCATCAAGGAATTAAACTTACATTTACCTTTGCAATGGTTTGATCCAGTTATTCACATAAGTAGATTCATATAAACAGCTCCATTCATCTTTTATCCAGGTGTTCAAATTAATGGTATTGAAAAAGAACCTAAGGAACTGGAAATAATTTTACTCATTAATGAAAGGATGAAAACCTTGCTTAAATAGTGGATAATGTTTAATGTTTATAACTGCATTTAATATACAACCATTTCTACGTCTATCTGCTTTCTGTCGATGTTACTGGATACACTGTAACCAGTCAAAAGGATCCACAGGTCCATAAGTGAAATTCTGCATGTGGAGCTGATCAACTAGAAGTAGTGGGTAGAGAAAGAAATCTGCTGACTCCTTCCTTCTCCCTGATATTGTTTGATTTGGAGGCATGTTAGGAGACCTGTAAAAACTGCTTCCTGTCTACCTCTGCCTATGGCAACATCCTCTGGATCTAAATCTCTTTTATTCAGAAAAGGAGCTGCTCTGTTCACAATTGTTGATTTCTGGATCCAATCCATTATGTAGTGTTACATGAATCCAGAATAATGAAATAGTTAAAAAATATTTTCTGGAAATTAAAAAGGGAGAATTTTAGTTATTCACACTCCCAGTTATTTCACTTGCTTTCCTGCTACGATATCTGATTATATAGTTTAAATGACAGTATACAAGCTTTTTAACTTTTACAACTACATCCAGTGTTGGCTGGGTAGTAGAAGCCACGTGCAATGCACAAACACATTTCTCCAGATTATTTAATTAATTAATAATAATTAAAATAATAATAATCTCAGAACTGCAGAGCTAGAAGGGACCCTACAGATCACTGAGTTCAGCTCCTACCAAGAAAGCATAGTCGGGAATTGAACTCCTAACCTCCATCTCCACAGCCAGATACCTAACTCAAGTCAATTCTGAGTTATAGGAACCCTTTTCAGTGTTTTCTAGGTAAAGAGTACTCTGAACAGGTTTACCATTCCTATATTCTGGGGGCACCCTGGGACAGTGCAGCTTACCCAAGACCATACACGCTGGCTCTTATAGGGTGCACAGTGGGGGAACTGAACTCCCAACCTCTGGCTCCACAACTCACTGAGCTATCCAACCAACTTTTATTTAATTGCTGTAACTAATTTAAACACCATCCAATCAAGTTATGCCTAAATTTATTTTAAGGTAATTTAATTAAAATTAATTAATAAAAAGTTAATTTATTAAATTGACGAATGTCTTCCTTCCATCTCAGCCATTAACGTTCTTTGTTTGAATAGCCTCCTTGAACCATACATTCCTATCTCTACTCCACTGTACCAGAAACAGCAGCACTGACATTCACAGACTGCTGAATAGCTCAGTGGCTTAGGTCTCTGGCTGCGGAATCAGAGGTTGGGAGTGCAATTCCTCACTGTGCCTCCATGAGAGGGGCTGGACTCGATCCATAGAGTCCCTTTAATTCTAGAGTTCAAAGGTTATTCACAGAGCTACGCCCTGCGAGATTACATTCTAAACATTCCTTCCTCAAGCAATCACCTCCTGGCAAATAGAAGGGGAAGAAATGGAGGCAGTAACAGATTTTACTTTCTTGAGCTCCATGATCCCTGTAGATGGGGACAGCAGCCACAAAATTAAAAGACGCCTGCTTCTTAAGAGGAAAGCGATGACAAACCTCGACAGCATCTTAAAAAGCAGAGACATTACATTGCCAACAAAGGTCCGCATAGTCAAAGCTATGGTTTTTTCCACTAGCGATGTATGGAAGTGAGAGTTGGACCATAAAGAAGGCTGACCACCGAAGAATTGATGCTTTTGAATTGTGGGGCTGGAGAAGACTCTTGAGTGTCCCCTGGACTGCAAAGAGAACAAACCTATCCATTTTGAAGGAAATCAACCCCGAGTGCTCACTGGAAGGACAGATCCTGAAGCTGAGGCTCCAATACTTTGACCATCTCATGAGAAGAGAAGACTCCCTGGAAAAGACCCTGATGTTGGGAAAGTGTGAAGGCAAGAGGAGAAGGGGATGACAGAGGATGAGATGGTTGGACAGTGTCACCGAAGCTACCAACATGAATTTGACACAACTCCGGGAGGCAGTGGAAGATCGGAGGGCCTGGCGTGCTCTGATCCATGGGGTCACAAAGAGTCGGACACGACTTAACGACTAAACAACAGCAACAACAATATGGCAAAAATTACCATTTTGGAGCAGTTGCACAGCTTGCTGGCATACTTGGGCCTGGCTTTTATTTATTTATGAAAATACTCCTATCTGTGTAATAAGAAAGGCTAAAGGACATTGTAGGGCAATGCTTTCAAGAGAGAGGAGAGATTTCCTATCAGGATAAAAAGAAAAAAATCCAGCTGATGATACATGAAATTTGTCATAAGAATTAGCTGATTCATTTCATAAGATGAATACAGCATAATAATCCTATTCATTGGTCTACACAAAGCTAAATGTTTACACCAACCAGCTTTTAACAGTCATAGATAATATAAATTAACAAGACACAATTCGGATACATCAAATTACAATTCTTGGATAGCTTTTGTTTCATTTCCCCAAAGCACAACTGTTTTAAGTACCTTGCATATCTTAGCAGTATCAATTGACTTGATTATTCTGCTGAACTGTTGAAGTCCAAGTTCCTCCAGAAGAAAAATGGCCAAATAACAAACAACTGTTGGGAGATGCATATTTGAACATTATATAGCCTAAAGTAATTATCCATAACATTCTGAGTTTCTATTCTAAACAGAAAGACATCACATTGCCATACTTTATACTGGTGCTTACATATAACAACAACAACAACAACTGTGTGCAGTTAAGTCAATTCTGACTTATGGCAACCCTTTCCAGGGTTTTCCAGATAGAGAGTAAGTACTGTATCCTTTTCTGGAGGCATCCAGGCACTGTGCAGTTTGCCGAAGGCCACACAGGCTGACTCTTCCTTGATGCACAGTGGAGAATTGAACTCCCAACCTTTGGCTCTGCAGCCAACTGTTTAACTCACTGAGTTCATTCACAATCTGTCTAATTAGAAAAATAGCTATACAGTGGTGCCTCGCTTTACGATTGCCCCGCATTACAACGAAACCACATTACGACAATCTTTTTGCGATTGCAATTGCGATCGCAAAACGATGGTCTGAATGGTTTTTTTTCGCTTTGCAATGATCGGTTCCCTGCTTCGGGAACTGATTCTTCGCAAAACAATGATTTTCCTCCAGCTGATCGGTGGTTTCAAAATGGCCACCGGGTAAATAAAATGGCTCCCCGCTGTTTTCTGGGACGGATTCCTCGCAAGACAGCCACCAAAAATGGCCGCCCTATGGAGGATCTTCGCTGGACAGTGAGATTCCAGCCCATTGGAACACATTGAAGGGGGTTCAATGTGTTTCAATGGGCTTTTTATTTGCGCATTACGACGTTTTCGTTCTACAGCGATTTCGCTGGAACGAATTAACGTTGTAATGTGAGGCACCACTGTAATACAAACTCAGCTTCTTCTTCTTCTATAGAAAAAATTCCAAAGCTCATCCGTACAGAAGCATGTTTACACTTTCAACCCAGGATTTTGTAGAAGTAAGCCCAGGGGAAATCAGCTTACTATCTGATAAAGATACTCAGTAGTCCAGCGTTAAAGTCCTGAAAGTTGCAATCTTATGTACACATACTTGGGTGTATCTCCCAGGTACTTGGTTGAACTTATTTCTGAGTAATCATGCACAGAATCAAAGACTGTATGAACACCACAGTGGAGTTATACAATTAAAATCCTTTTTTAATTGAGCCAAGCTATTTATAGAGACTCTATCTAACTTTACAAAACATATCAAGCAGTTGAATGCAACTAAGAAAACAAAGTCCAATGGCTTTTATACTGAAAGGTTAACAAAGAAAAACGCCCACACTTTACCCACCTCCCCTGTTTGTCACCCTCTGCCTCATGTCTATTTACAGGGCTATTTCTAACTTAATGAGTATGGTTACTTAAGATGAAATAGGAGACCTTTGCTGTTCAGAAGGCACCCTGCAGAGCCTCCAGGAAACAAGGATCCGTGGCTAAGGATTCATCTCTGCCTGCTCCCTCCCCGGTTCCCCCATTCATCACTCCTTCATTCTCCCTTGACTGATCTCATATTTCACTTCTTTTCTTTGCATTTCTATTTGCATATATGGATATGCAAATCCTTTTTTAAAAAACTGTAATTAAATTGCACATCAGAAGATGTACATAAAAACATTTTTAAAAAATTAAAAGTGAGGGCAGGAGCATGATATTCTGAACATGTGACACAGCACCCAGCCCCTGACATGCCCACATTGGCAGTGTGGGTGTGGGTGTGTGGGTGGGTGGAAAGGAAAAAAATGATACAATTGTGGGTGTATGTTATAATTTTGCACCTGTCCGCATCTACTCTCAGTAAATGCATTTTTGCTGGATTATTGTGAAAGCATATTTCCGTCCCTAGTTCTGTTAGCTTCACCCCATCCTCAAGAAAACAATGCTTGCTATACTCCTACTAACTCATCACAACTGAAATGTCGAGCTTTCAATTTACCCTGACTCCCTCCAGCTTTTCTTTCTGTTATCTTTACATAGAATTTTCTGTGGCTTTGGCTATATGTCTGCCTTGGTACCTAACTGGAGTACAGCGATTATCTTCAGGTGCACCAACACTGGAAGGAAACCCAACAAACTCATCACCCAATACACAATCTCTCACAATCTTAGATACCTTTTTTAGATATCATTATATAATTACTTACCAACATACAAGTTACGTTCAGACTGCAGGCAATGTTTTCCATCTCGAATATAAAATGCATTAACCACCACATCCAATAAAGATTTATATTGTATACAGCCAGATAAAGTTTTCAGTACAAAGGTTTCATCTGTTACTTTAATACCCTATCAAGACAAAATGGATTTATATTTAGGAAGAAAAGTCAGAACAAATACCAACATTTGAAGTCAAATTGTAATATATATATATCCAGTTTTCTAGGTTTCAATGACTAGATAGGCCGGGTATAAATACAATCAATCAATCAATCAATCAATCAATACTTGATAATTATAGGGTGGCTCTAAGTGCATATGTTTGTAATCTTTCTTTATCTGTGTCAGACTATTGCATAATTTAAAATTATGAATCTATATGGAATATAAGTAAAATTAAAAATAAATTAAAAGTTAAGACAATTAGACTATTTTTCACTAGAAGCGAGCTACTTCAATAATGTTATCTCAGCTATTTGCTAAATCTTCTTTTGTATACATGATGGACATAAAATTGCATGCACTTAAAGTGTTGCATTGATTGAATTTCTCCAGTCCCAGAAAACTTGTTTGTAATGTATATGAAGAACAAACATATTCTCTTTGTGTTCCTATGCAAGCAAAGCAACCATAAACAGTACATTCAGGACATTTTAAAAGTTGAAAAATAAGGAAAAAAGATTGAGAATGGTAGCTAAAAAAGTTCAATGGCATCATGTTCAGGTGTCAAAGAATGGCACCTGCTAAAGATGAAACATGAGTAAGGGTGGGGGAGGAATGGAGCACCCTCAGAAAATTCATAGCCGGATGTCTGCAAACCCCAAGCAGGTACACTTGTACCTGTATAATTTGTACAATAATTTGTGACAGATGTCACTTGTGTATATACATAACCAAATATTAATTTTTGAATTGAAATAATTTGGTCCATGGTATATTAACAAGCAATATCACAAGACTATAATTTCTGATCTTTCTGATCTTAACTGGCCTTTTAAAATGCACACCGGGAGTACGCTGAAACTGTATTAGAGTTCCCTTTTTTTCCTTCAGAATTTTTCAACCTCTTCCCAAGTTTGTCCATAGCTTCTGTTCTGCTGCTGCTACTATTAGCTCCAGTTTTGATGTAAAAACTGATATATGTTCAATAGAAGCATACACTAATAATCAGACTTAAGGGGATTTGCTAGCAGTGCTGTGATTCACAAATTTAGAAAATTGCTATTTACCATAATGAAATTTTGATTGAGACTGAGCTGCTATTTTCACCATTAGATAGGATACTTCCTGTGTTGCAAGACAACAATGGAGCCTTTATCTAAACATCTAAGCATCTCTTCAACTCCTAACAGGAGTGAATCTGGGATGATTGTCAATCAATCCAGCAGTATCCAATGTTCCCTCTCTGCCTCTGATTTTGAAGGGAGCCCTGTCTTTCTGCCTAAGAGTCTTTTCCCCATTGTTTTTTTTCCCAGCCAGTATTCAGTTTGTGTCAGCATACAGTGAGCTAATCTTATGTCAGTCATGTTGCTCTGAGTCAGTTAAGGCCAATTTATGCAACTGGTTGATTTTTTTATACAATATGCCAATTTTTTTAGCTGTTCAGAACTGTGAGTAAACTGAATCTTTTTACTCTTTCTCTTACCAACCATCTCAGAATGGTTATTGAGACTGTAAGTGCCAGTTGAAGACAACCCAAATGGGGTGGTCTACTATGGGGAGACTGGAAGCTCATTTTGCTCCGTAGGGCCCTGGAGATATGGAATTAATGATGTTTGCCTCATGATAAATTGGAATTGAGACATCTATTCCTGCTGCTTCTAACAGCTGTCTTGCTCCTGCGTGGTTGCAGACAGACAAAGATTTACCATTATGCTGGATTAACAAGCAAAAGGGAAATCAACGGTATTTTAATTAATCTCCTCTCAGTTTTGTTGTATAGTTTTGGACCATTAACAGTCACTATAAATATGACTGTTGTATTGCCTTCCTGTAATGACTCAGAAAATGAACTTGATCCATGAAAGTGCACATTAAAATATAGCAGTCATTATGGTGCCCACAATATTTCTCTCTCTCTCTCTCTCTCTCTCTTTTAATTTTGTGGGTTTTTTGTTTTTGTCTGATATGCTTGCATAGACAAACATAGCTACTTCCTCAAAAACTATAATTTTTAAGTTGATTATGAAGAAATTGAAATTGTTAAGCACTTTGTGTCCCTCAGTTTAATCCTCAATACAAATGGAAACTGCAGCCAAAAATTCAGAAGACTGAGACTTGGAAAGGAAGCTGGAGACAAAAACAAAGATTATCTGTGCTATGATATTTCCAGTTACTATGTGTGAATGTGAATACTGGAGAGTAAAGAAAACTGGCAGAAAAAAAGAATGATTGATTTAGATGTGTTGGGGAGAAACTTTATGGATATCATGGTTGGAGAGAAAGACAAATTAACTGAGTGCCAGATCAAATCATACCATAACTCCCCCTAGAATTAAAAAAAATGACTAAACAGAGGCTGTCATCACCAGAAAAATCAATAAGGACTAAGAATGGCTGCAGCCATAGGACAAATAACACCTTTGAATAATATATTCATTGAAACGGGAAACCTTACTTCTAAAGAATTCATTCCTGATGATACTCAGAAAGAACACAGATTAATATGAGTATTTTCTGAGTGATTGATGAACCATTTGACAATATCTAGATATACAGTATTAATAATTATATTTATGTACTGTCAAGTCAGTTCTGACTTTTGGTGATATTTTCCAACATTTTCTAGGTATAGGTTACTCAGAAGTGGTCTACCATTCTTTTCTTCTTGGGGTCATTCTAGTTCTGTAAAGTTTACTATAAAGCCTGGCTTTCTGCTGGGACACAAAGTGGGGGATTAAACTCACAGCATTGGGATATCTAATTCATTGATCTATTTAGCCGGCTCCTAATTATATTACCTATTATTAACTCCAATTATGCTTACTGCGCCCCACCCTTGCACTACTTAGTGGATTTCTGGTACAATTTGCTTGCTTTCAACCAACCAATCAACCCACTTAAAGCATTCTGATGTCTAGCTACACTAAAAATAACTTCACTTGGGTCTTAATAAGAAAAACAAGAAAAATTACATCTGATATGGCACCATCTCAGCATGCAAATCTTGTTAATTTCACATTTGTCTGGCTGATTATTTAAAATGTTAAAACTAATTAGGATAAAAAAGACAACTCACACACCTGTAGTGTATTAGATTTATCCAATAAATGTTCAGTATTCTCATTTTCAGGACTGAACTGATTAAGCTGCTGGACCACTACTTGAATGTCTCTCCAATGGCCACTCATCTTCACTGCAGAATCCTGCAACTGATTAAATATATACACAATCTTCACTTGCAGAATAATCTATAATCTTGATACAGTATGTATATAAGAATCATTTTCCTGAAGCCATCAAGTTCTCCATGGTTCTGACCATTATACTCTGATTCATTTTACTTTGCAACTGGTTTTCATGTACGTGTATGTTTTATAATAACTATTAAAGTACAAAGTAAGATAAATAAACTACATGTTACACAATTAAAAACAGAAATGCAAAATCTGCAGGAGAGAACAGACCCTATACAAAAACCTTACTGGAAAAACCTCTCTCCTTATATATCTACAAAATGTACATGCCATACTTTCTACATCACTTTACCTTCTAGATATGTACACTCAGAAGTACTTCTCACTCTTTCAGGTGAGTCTTCCCACAAGTAATTGGAGTTACTCCGGGTTTTTTATTTTATTAGCCAATCTATTTGTCAAAGCAGGTGTTAGTATAACAGGCAAAGCCAAACCTTAACTGACCAAAACAGAAATAAAATAGCATTTTGTTAAATATACTATCAACAGAGGGACTTCAAGTAAATGTAAGGAAGAAGTCTTAAGAACCAAACTCAGATCTTTACATTGGTTGATCCATGTAGAAAAATTGTGAAATTGCAGTATTATTTGGTACAATTATTTGAATGTAAAGACAGGGAGACTTCCAAATAAACATGGATATAATTGAGCTTTAAATTCAGAGCTGAGTCTCAGTTGAGCAAAATTTCAAACCAATCTGACAGAGATTATCAGATTTAATGCTGATGGCTCGCCCCATCTTTGCTATCCTTTCACAAGCAAAGACCTTCCTCTCTAGGCAAGCTTTCCTTTAAATCAGTGGCCTCCAACCTTGGGCCTCCACAGATGTTCTTGGACTTAAAATCCTGGCCAGCAGAGGTGGTGGTGAAGGCTTCTGGGAGTTGTAATCCAAGAACATGTGGAGGCTGTTCTTGGATTACAAAGGTTGGACACCACTTCTTTAAATGACTGGTTGACCAAGGGCATTTTTTTAAAAGGTATTTTTTTATTCTGTGGTTTTACTTGTGTTTTTAATAGTACTCTTATTTGTAAGTTTAATATGTTATCTGTTTAACGCTTTTTAAATATTGTGTTTTTAATACTGTAAATTGTCTTGTATCCTTAGGAGAAAGGCAGCATATAAATATTTTAAATAATTAATAAATAATTCTGAAAATTGGCTGACTCCTGTCAAGAAACTGAGCTACTGGGCTGGGAGGATGTCCTCTTTCCATTACAGAAAATGAATATATCACAGTAAGAATGAGCAGTCCTTTTTTCCTGTAGTGTGGAAGGGCATCCTACATAACAGGATCTTCTGCTTCTATCCTTGCTGAGAGCAAGGATAAGTGCTTAGGGAGTGCCTCTCTAACTGTAGTACTCCAACAAAAGGAGCTTCTGCAGAAGCAAAGGGATTTGGTCTATAATGTCTAGTGAAAGAGGAGAATGATTTCCAAATGGTTTCTGGGCACATATCTGTAAAGGCAGCCCTGGTCCCAGAGGCTGTAGAAGTGCCAACTCCTTGGAAACTCTCCTTCTCACGGCACCTGGATGAAAGGAAATGAACAGAGCATCACAAATGAAGAAACACTCTACATTTCAAACAGAGCTGCTATATATGATGACTCGTCTAACATCTTGAATGTGCCATTGTTTATCCAGGGGCTCAGACAGCTTCAGAAAAAAGTGTTTCAAGTACTTCTTCAATTCTGTGGAAAGTGAAGTTTAATTTAGGAATAAACGATGAGTCTGGAAACAAGATCCTTAAATGAAACAACATTCTGTCTGACAGAAACCACCTCTACTCAAAGACCCAAGTCACTGTTACGAGCAACAGGACCATCCAAGGCAGATGTCTCAGGAACACCCTATGAAGAATTCAACAGCAGATTGATAAGGACAATGAGAGCCTTGTGTAACTCCCAGGAAGAATATCTGTGCACCATGACAGGAAAAGTGCTCTGAGCAATCTACGTATGTATATCAGGAAAGGCTGACAACAGATTGTTTTCAAACTTCAAAGGACTGAGAAAATAGTTGACATCTGTCACTTCAAAGTTTAAATCAGCCTGAAGGAAGCAGAAGAGAGGGGAAAAACACTTACTGACCTAGTCATTCCTATGCCATCTGCATAAGGACTTCCACAAGAATTCATAGATTATATGAGTGGAGTTTCTGCCTGATGGTGCCAATTATCTTGGTACAGTATTCTAGGCAAGAGACATTAGTCACTGCCAGGCCATATCTCAGCAGTGGCATATAAAACCATTATGGAAAACATGTCTATCAGAGGCACAGAAGCCATCAATATTTTTGACCACATTATACAATAATGACACAGAGGAGGCAACTAGATGAGTACTCATCCCACTGCTTGTGTGATTTTTCTCATTGTTCCTTTAGATATTTATTGTGTCAACCACACAACACCAGCGCTGATCAGGAGTAGATCTGATCTTCTGGCATGACAGAGTGAAGACTAGGTCTCAAGAGATATGAGTCTGAATCCCGGCACTTACAGGGATGGGAGAGCAAAATTAGTAAAACGACTCCTTAAACATCCCACTTACCCTGAAAGCCCTATTAGGGTTGCTACAATTTGTTTCAAACTTGAGGTCACATAATATACAGTATCATGCTGCATATGTTGTTCAGCCAACAGGATTTGTGTTTTTGTAGCATTTCCACTCAAATTATTTTACCTGCTTTTGTAGTATGGGGCAAACATTATTTGTTTTGCCTGCCCTTCTGCTTGCACAACATGAATGCAGTTTTGTCAGCTGTATTTCTTAAAATATATATTTTTCTCTTAATTTAACAGTACTGTATAGCTCTAAACTGATACAGCATAGGTTCTATAGCTTGCCTTATCTTGTCAATTCTGTGCTAACTCATTTGGTAAAAATTTAAAAAGGAGGAATTTGAATTCTGTCGAAAGGGGTGGGGTAAGAGGATAGTGATAATGGCAGAGAAAGGTGATAGTTGAATGGAGGCTGTGTGACATTTGGACACTTAAAATGCATTCCTGGGATAATTAAAAAATTCTGTGTGAACAAGAATGGCATGCAGTATAGAAAAGTCCACATCAAGCCTGCAGAACCTTCGGTGTGGTCATGCCCACAGTAACCCAAAACTCATCACACATACAAAACATCAGCCTGAACAAAAAAACCAGGCACGTCAGTAATAGAAACAAGTTATGTGGCCATCAGATAAAAGATCAGTACCATCTCTGCACACCGCAGTGAGCCAAACCTCAAAGGATGAGCCTTTACTAGGATTTCCATAATGGGAGTGATGGCTGGAAGGTGAGCATTGCTCTGCGAACAGACGTGCAAATACATCACACTTGCAACCGCCAACAGGAGCAGGCTTACCTTTGGAGAACAGACTTTCCAAGCGCTCCGCCCGAGATCCTTGTCTTTAAAACTGATTTCAGAGCAAGGCCTCAGGGAAAAAAAACAGAAAACTCGAAAAAGGTAGGAAGAGAACAATTGGACAAACTGCTAATATAGGAACAAAATGGCGGCACCTACTGACGCCCCGTCGCCTAGCAACTGCTTGAAGCGCCCCGGGAACCTGGACTCGGGTTCTAGATTGCAGGCTGAAAACACCGGGTCGTTTTGAAAACTCCGCCTTTAACACGTAGTTGGTCACCTTAAGCACAACGTCAGAAACACCCTTTCTGACAACTACTCTGCAGTTGACCCACGCAACTCTCTGGTCTCCGGGGTAACTCCGGCACAAAGAGAGTCCGATCTTAGGCGTGTGAAAGCTCTGCCTCCCCGCTCGGATCACCGCTTGTTTTTTGCCTTCCCGTTTGGATCGAAAAGGGGGGGGGGGGAGAAAGAGGCGTCTAAGAGAGAGGTGCTGAAAGACACGGCCACGAGAGGAGGAAAAAAACGGGCTTGGTGGGGAACAAGCGCGCACGAAACTCTTGGGACCACCTCGAAAGTCAGCCAGATTTACGGCGCGGAATCAAGCTGCTCCGGCGGGTGGTCGTTCAAAATCCTAATATTCATTGGTACTCACGCTACAAGGGACATTTGCCTGTTTATACTTAAGTCACTTCTAAATTATCCTCTCTTTTTTTGGCAGTTTCTAAAACGGCTGAGTATGCAACTTTTAACTTGCTGTCTAACTCAGAGGTAAGGGTCGTTTTCAGCGGGTTTTACTCCCAGAGAAGTGTAGGGTTGCTTCCTCTTCTGCGAACTCTAAAGTCCCTACTTCGTATTCTAATTTAACCACGACTTTGCGCTAGCTGACCTCAGGTGAGCCTCCTTTTCTCATGGTAAGCTCGATTATAACAAAAGGTATGGGAAGCGCTTTCAAAACTGCCAGGTAAAAGTTAAGCGTTATTAAACCAAACTTGGAAAGCAAATAATGTTTCTATTTCAGGGTGAAGGAACAAGGAAGAAAGTAAAAGGTGGATCCATGAACTCAAGAACAAATCATTATTTTGTACGATTTATATGTGGGATCGTCATTAATTCACCACCAAATTGTAGATCTCATATATACCTACAGAGTACACCACAAAATTATGGATCCTTCAGCACATAGATTTGCGGTGGTACAAAAAATGGATCTGAGGTATGAATCCTCGTGATTTCGTGTGATTTTTACTTATTTTTTTAAATTTTCTTTTTATTATATAAAATCCATCCATGTTGATTTATAAACGTGCCACCAGGGTACAGCTTATAATCATTTGTTAAAACAACTACCATACACATTGCGTTCCTAATCTATATAACATCCTTCTAACCATTGATAGAATAAGTCCCATGTTTGTTAATATTTGTATCTTCTTTCCCTTTGATTTTCAGTGTTAGTCTATCCATTTCGGCACAGTCCAATATCTTTTTAATTATTTCTTGATCTGTAGGTGTTCCTTCATTTTGCCAGTACTGTGCATATATAATCCTCGCAGCTCTTAGAAATATGCATTATTAAATATACCTTATCAACACTTT